GTATGGTGAATTCAGTAAGTGACTGTTATCCCAATAACGTTACCTGTTTAGCACAAAAGTTCAGAACATACAAAAACAGAAAAAAACATAATATTACCTATGAAATGTTCTGCCTATGTTACTACACCCGTAGACAACGCTAAAGTCCCGCATCTTCACGTAATAACACTGTCTTGACTAGTGCGGTTGAATGACATTTGTCCTGGGAGCACTGTACCAATGTGGCGACGCTATTGACGCATGCTCAGGTTCCCTATGCGATGTTTATAACATCCTCCCAAACATTAATGTCATTCTTCCAAAAAATGCATTCTTATTATTATCCACACCTAATAAAGCATCATCCTATCAAAGCATTTGATCTCCTAGCTGCTGCTTCTTCAGAGACGTGTGTCCTGTAATGAAGCTTTTTTTTTTTTCTCGACACGACGAGCATAAATCAGCTCTCAATGCAACATAATCCTTTTTTTCTCCCTCACAGCCCTGGGGCTTTTCTTCTTCTACTACCTCGTCTTCTGCTTGTTTCTCTCTCTTTCACTCAGGTGTGTCTTTACAAGCTTCAGCTTTCAGTTATTACTGCAACCCAGGAGCAGAAGGAAACCCCTCAGCACTCTGTAAGTCTGCAGTTACTCAGCTGTGAGCATTCAAAATAATACAATCACACGGAAACTGCAAGTCTGCATTTCCCCTGTAGATTGTTGGACGGTGATGGAGCTTTGAATTCCTCGGTCGAGACCTCAACCGCATTTGTCTTCAGATCTGCAGAGGTATGTGTGGAGAAGATCTGTCGTACTGATTTCCTGATTAGTTTATTGTGGGCTTAGAGAAGTGTTTTGCGCCAAATAGATAAACGTGTTCAGAGTAATTTTACACAAATGATTTGTGGTTTGTGTAATCAGATAAATGTGACGTTTTAATTTTCGATGTGTCTTTGTGTCTGTTTGTAATGTTTGCAACTTTTATGTTTATCAATCATTTCTATAGCATATCGTTTCATTTAGCTCAGTAACTTGTTTGAGGTTCATTTTTTTCATGTTGTAGTAATTTTAATCTATTAATTAACCAATAAGCCAATATTTTGTTTGGTTTATTTATTATCTCATGCATTATGCATTTTTACATTAAAATATCTGAGTAATAATTGCATGCGACGCGGTGGCACAGTAGGTAGTGCTGTTGCCTCCCAGCAAGAAGGTCGCTGGTTCGAGCCTCGGCTCAGTTGGCTTTTCTGTGTGTAGTTTGCATGTTCTCCCTGCGTTCGCGTGGATTTCCTCCGGGTGCTCCGGTTTCCCCCACAGTCCAAAGGCATGCGGTACAGGTGAATTGGGTAGGCTAAATTGTCCGTAATGTATGAATGCGTGTGTGGACGTTTCCCAGAGATGGGTTGCGGCTGGAAGGGCATCCACTGCATAAAAAACGTGCTGGATAAGTTGTCGGTTCATTCTGCTGTGGCGACCTCAGCTTAATAAAGGGACTAAGCCAACAAGAAAATGCATGAATGAATAATAATTGCATTAAAATGTATATTTCAGTGGGTAAAATGGTGGCCCAGTGGTTAGTACTATCCCCTTACAGCAAGAAAGTCACTGGTTCGAGTCCCGGCTGGACCAGTTGGCGTTTCTGTGTGGAGTTTTGCATGTTTTCCCTGTGTTGGTGTGGGTTTCTTCCATAATCCTCCACAATCCAGAGACATGTGCTATAGGTGAATTGAATAAACTAAATTGTCTGTTTTCCCAATGATGGGTTGCAGCTGGAAGGGCAGCCGCTGCTTAAAACCCATGCTGGATAAGTTGGCGGTTCATTCCGCTGTGGCGACCTCAGATTAATGAAGGGAACAAGCTGAACAGAAAATAAATGAATGAAATTGTATGTAGTGAATGAGTGTGTATGGGTGTTTCCCAGTACTGGGTTGCGCCTGGAAAGGCATCCGCTGTTTAAAACATATGCTGGAATAGTTGGTGGATCATTTTGCTGTGGTGCCCTCTGAAATAGAGACTAAGCTAAAGGAAATTTTAAAGAAAGATTGTATATTTTAGTACTCTACAAAAAATTAACAAGGTACTGTTAGAATGAGTAAAAACAGAAACTGAATGATACGATGTCATACAATATGCCTCACAAATTAACAAAATTTTAACTAAATTCAAAATATATAATTTTTTTAGTTTTTTTTTAAAATGATACACAGCAAAATCCTCTGGGTAATTATTACTCAGTTTAGACTGTATTTGGTCCCTCTCTAAATTGAGGCCCCGTTTACACTAATGCGTTTTAGTTTGAAAACGCATAAGTTTTCCAACGGTTACACCATCCGTCCACACTACGCTGGAGAGTCCGTTTTCATTCTGAAACACTGCTGCTCCGTCTCAGTTTGGATGAGGGAAAACGGAGTCATCTGAAAACGGAGGCGGGGCTGCTGAGATTCGCTAACTGATTGGGGCTTTTGTGTCATTGCGTATCCTTCCCTTATTCGTCAAGCCTCTATCACATGACTATAACACATGGCTTTAACGCTACCGGAAGACAGCAGACCAGCCTTTTAATGTAAACAATATCATGGACACAGAAATGCACTATTGTCTGTTTTAGGCACCATTGTGCAGTTATTCATTTGTTACGTTTAGTAACAGCTCGACTTCGTCGTCTGTCCACAAAAAGACCTCTCTTGCGTTTTTGCCATTGCGTTCATTGTTCAACTGGCGTTTGTTGACTAACAATAACCAAATGCTGAGTGAGACACATGCTTCCTGTTTATACTAGAACGCGCATGCCCAGAGTGCGCGAATGGTCACGTGATATACGTTTTTGTTGGCGTAGTGTGGACGGAGATATGTTCAGAAACGCTAGTGTGGACGCGGATCGTTTTTGATCTAAAACGCCATTTTAAAACTAAAAGGCACTAGTGTAAACGGGGCCTGAGCTAATGTTGCTCAAGTTAATGAGACATTGAAGGGATTATTTTGGAATACATGCTGTTAATAAGCAGAAACACAGAAGAGAAACACAAAACTGCAACTGACTTCAGTCAGCTAAAATATAATATGAATCTCTCAAAATCTCAGCCAAGGATCATTAAGCAACTCCACAAACAGCAGCTTTACTTTTTACCAACCTGTTTGCCCTTATTTAAAGAGGGACCAAATATTCTCTGAACTGAGTACATTTTACTGAGGAGATTTTGTTGTGTACAAAATATACAGTTAAAGTCAGAATTATTAGCCCCCCTTTGAATTTATTTTTCTTTTTTAAATATTTTCTAAATGATGTTTAATGGAGTTAGACAATTTTCAAAGTATGTCTGATAATATTTTTTCTTCTGGAGAAAGTCTTATTTGTTTTATTTTGGCTAGAATAAAAGCAGTTCTTAATTTTTTAAACACCATTTTAAGGTCAAAATTATTAGCCCCTTTAAGTTAAATATTTTTTCTCAATAGTCTACAGAATAAACCATCGTTATAAAATAACTTGCCTAATTACCCTAACCTGCCTAGTTACCCTAATTAACCTAGTTAAGCCTTTAAATGTCACTTTAAGCTGTATAGAAGTGTCTTGAAAAATATCTAGTCTAATATTATTTACTGTCATCATGACATGTAACAGATAAAATGAATCAGTTATTAGAAATGAGTTATTAAAACGATTATGTTCAGAAATGTGTTGAAAAAATCTGCTCTCTGTTAAACAGAAATTGGGGAAAAAATAAACAAGCGGTCTAATAATTCAGGGGGGCAAATAATTCTGACTTCAACTGTATAGTATATGATAAAAATAGTTAATATTAGTTATTATGAGAATTTTTATTAGTTGTATAATTGTATTTGTTTATGGATATTCTTTTCTTTTCTTTCTTTTTCAAGAAAAACTCTTTTATTCCACTCATTCATCACTACACACCATTTGAAAGATCAATTCTTTTTCAACACTATACGAAAGTTTGTCGCCACTAATGTCGGCTGACATCAAAAACACTTTAATTCTGATTGGCCGATGAACAGTCTTTTTTATTATTATTTTAAAGCTTCTTAAAAAATGTTAACTAAATAAAAATAACAAATATTATTCATTCATCAATTTTCTTTTTAGCTTATTCGCTTCATTAATCTGGGGTTACCACAGCGGAATGAACCGCCAACTTATCCAGCATATGTTTAACACAGCGGATGCCCTTCCAGCTGCAACCCATCTCTGGGAAACATCCATATACGCTCATTCACACACAAACACTACGGACAATTTAGCTTACCCAATTCACCTGTACAGCACGTCTTTGGATTGTTGAGGAAACCGGAGCACCACTGCGTCGGCAACAAACATGAGTTTTTATACAAAATGTTCTGTTTGTTTGGCTGTTTTTACGATAAATAGACGATAGTTTACTGTTTGATCAATCTGCTTATTTAAAATGATCTGAAACCACACAATTCTTGAGTTTTTGGGGACAACTTAATTGTTTTATGTTTAATCCACTTAAATTTGTAAAAACTAATAAGTTTGCATCTTAAATAAATAAATTCCTAAATAAATAAATTAACTTGTCCCAACACAAATCGATTGCGTGGAACCCAGCATTTTTTACAGTGAAGATTGACTTTCTTTCTGACTTTCTTTCCTCTGTTGAACACAAAAGAAGATATTTTGGAGAGAGCTGGAATCTGTAACCATTGACTTCCATTCTACTTGTTTTTCCGACTATGGAAGTCAATGGTTACAGGTTTCAAAACATCCCCTATTGTGTTTAAAAGAAGAAAGAACCCCATAAAGGTTTAGAACCACTTAAGTGTAAGTAAATAGCGAGTAAGTTATCATTTTTGGGTGAACTATCCCTTTAATTCTTCCTCACATTGCTCTTTCATTCATTCATTCATTCATTCATTCATTCATTCATTCATTCATTCATTCATTTATTCATTGATTCATTCATTCATTCATGTATTCATTCATTCATTCATTCATTCATTCATTCATTTATTGTCCTGGTGCTCCTCTCTGTCCTGCAGGTCCAGTTATGCTGCTCCGTCTAGAGTTGTCTGCGCTTCTGCTGCTCTGTAAGTTCGCTCATGTCTTTTACTTCGCTGGAAGCTGACAGTCAAATTACCTATCAGCCCAATCAGGGGAAACGTGTGATCACTTGCCACCCTTGGATTGTATTTTTTTTCACCCACTTGTTGACACTTGAACACTTTGACACGCGCAAGTTTTCTGTCGTTGCGTATTTTTTTCCATTTCTTTAGTTTTCATAGCTGAGCCAGTTTGAACAAATCGCTGTCACTTGAAGAAATTGTTCATGCTTGTTTTGGTTTTACATGCAGAATTTTGGCTTTAAAGTGTCCTGCTGTTTATCCTGGAAATACACACTGCAAAAATGCCTACTTCTGAAAATGGTTTCTGGGTAACACTTTAGTTTAGGTCACAATTCATGGTAATAACAAACCATTAACTAACATTGCTAGCTTAATAAATTACTAAAAGTAGGGAGAGACAGAATCTGCTGATATTTTTACTATTTCTGCTGAGAACTTTGTAGAAAATCTGCAGGTTTATGCAAAATGATTTTGGAAGTATCATAACTAAAAAAATATATACAGTTGAAGTCAGAATTATTCGCCCCCTGTATATTTTTTTCCTTTTTTTTCTGTTAAACGGAGAGCAGATTGTTTTAAACACATTTCTAAGCATAATAGGTTTAATAACTCATTTCTAATAACTGATTTATTTTATCTTTGCCATGATGACAGTGAATAATATTAGACTAGATTTTTTAAAGACACTTCTATACAGCTTAAAGTGACATTTAAAGGTTTAATTAGGGTAACTAGGCAGGTTAGGGTAATTAGGCAAGTTATTGTATAACGATGTTTTGTTCTGTAGATTATCGAAAAAATATATAGCTTAAAGGGCTGATAATTTTGACCTTAAATGGTTCAGAACATTTAAAAACTGCTTTTATTTTAGCCGAAATAAAACAAATAAGACAAACAAAGTTCCCTTATATAATTTATCTACTAAAACACAGAAAATATTAATTTACAAACTGTATTGTAAATAAATTACATTTTCATATTAGTCAATAATATTACTGAAATTAATTAAAAAACTGAATAAATATATATTTACACACATTTCCACAAGTATTTTGTAAGGTTTTGGGTAGGACTAGGGAAGCAGGGTAAAATCCTACTTTATAGCTAATTGTAACGACTGGGGTGGAGTGACAAAGACAACTGGAGGTAAGATCCAATATGCAGGTTTATTCAGCGTCAGGCAAGCAATGGTCAAATCAGGTACAATCGGGTATATGCAGACAAATCCAAAATCGTAGTCGTAAATCAGGCAACAGGTCACTAAACAGGAAAACATGGAATACAGGGCTAAGGTCTAACACGGAGAAAACAAGACAGGGAACCGCGTTGTAATGTCACAATGATGCTAACAAGACTCAGCAAACTGGCAGCGTGAATGTGTGGCTTAAGTATGGTGTGATATCAGTCTGTGACAAGGTTCAGCTGGTGATTGCAATCAGGATAGGTGAATGACCAGGCGTGCGTGTTTGTAAGAAGTGCATGTATGAAAATGTAGTCCTGGGATATGCGGAAGTGTAGTCCTGAGAGTTCGTGTGAGAACCAGCGATCTTTTGATAGCGATCGCTGGTTATGTGACACTAATAATGAACAGTAGTTTTTTGAAAATATAAATTTATTTGATTTTTATATAAATTTATAATATAATATATATATATATATATATATATATATATATATATATATTATATTATAAATTTATATAAAAATCAAATAAATTTATATTTTACTTCGGCTTAGTCTCTGATTTATCAGAGGCTGCCACAGCGGAATGAACCGCCAACTTCCAGCCCTTCCAGCTGCAACCCATCACCCCAAACACCTATACACTCTAGCACACACATACACTACGGCAAATTTCATTCATTTTCTTTTTAGCTTTGTTGCCTTTTTAATCTGGGGGTCGCCACAGCGGAATGAACCGTCAACTTATCCAGCATATGTTTTACGCAGCGGATGCCCTTCCAGCTGCAACCATATGGGAAACATCCATACACACTCATTCACACTCATACACTACGGACAATATAGCTATCTTTGGACTGTGGGAGAAACCGCAGCACGCCAACACAGGGAGAACATTCAAACTCCACAAAGAAATGCCAACTGCCCCACCCGAGGCTCGAACCAGCAACTTTCTTGCTGTGGGGTGATTGTGCTACCCACTGCTCCACCGTGCTGCCCCTACCACCAATTTAGTCTACCCAATTCACCTATAGCACATGTCTTTGGACTGTGGGGGAAGCTGGAGCACCCGCAGGAAACCCACGCAAACGCAGGGAGAACATGCAAACTCCACACAGAAGCACCAACTGGCTCAGCTGGGACTTGAACCAGTGAACTTCTTGCTGTGAGGCAACAGTGCTAACCACTGAGCCACTGTGTCGCCCATTCAACAAACAAATAGATTCAATTAAATTTGAATTGCAATATTTAAAATTAAAAAGTGATTATTTTTTATTTAATGTCTTAAGTTTGTAGTTGTCATATTCTCAAAATCCACATAAATTCTTCGATTTTTTAAATGCAGAAATAGCAAACAAATTGTCATGAGATTCTGTCTAGCCCTGGATATTGGTTCGCATTTAAACAGGACAATGGGTTATTTCAAGAAGCTGAATGTTGTGAGTTACCAGGGTATATTGGTGTGCATGTAAACATCCTCAGTTAGCTAACATTTTAGCACTTCTCCATCTCAACACTTAGCACTTCAGCACTCTTCACATAACATGGTCCATCAAGCTCAAGATATTTACTTGTCCTAAGACATAAAAAACACATCAGTAATACCCCCTTGTGGTATTTCTTAAAAGCTTTTACTTGTCTTAAAAAGGTGGTTTCTATAAAGCGTCTAAATGGGATTACATTAGTAAATTCAATCATCTTGCTTCCACCGCTTTATGTTAATGATCAGATCCTTGCAAATAAGTCTCAAAGCTTTAAGGAAAATGTTTCTGTAAAATATTCAAGCTGTTCAGAGTTTTTCTTTAAAAAGCAACTCAATTTATTTTGTCATCTATAAAAGGATAGTTTATTCATTCATTTATTTTCTTGTTGGCTTTATTAATCTGGGGTCGCCACAATGGAATGAACCGCCAGCTTATCCAGCACGTTTTTGCGCAGCGGATGCCCTTTCAGACACAACCCATCTCTGGGAAATAAAAGGGATAGTTCACCCAAAAAATATGAAAAATCATCATTTACTCTACCTTTACTTGTTTCAAACCTTTATTTTTAATTAAACACAAAAGAAGATATTTTGAAGAATGTTGGAAACCTGTAACCATTGACTTCCATGATATTTGTTTTTCCTACTATGGAAACAGTTGCAGTTTTTCAGTTTTCTTTAAAATATAAGGCCCTATCATACTCCTGGTGCAATAAGGCACGAGACATGTTTGCTGCGACGTGTTGCTATTTTCAGACCAACGCAATCGTAATTTTCCCGTTTTCCGTCACTTTGTTTAGATAGCAAATCCATTTGCACCACTTTGTGAACTCATGGGTGTTTCGGTCTAGAAAAGAGGTATGTTAAGGTGCATTGTTGGCGCGTTGCTGTTTGAGGAACTAAAATAGACACAATTGATCAGCTTAAAGCAGGGGTCTGTTCTTCGTACGTGGATTACTTAATTAGTTGGACTTGGTTATTGACGATTTAACATGATCCAGGATCGTTTTGTTGTTCAAAACTGATCCGAAAGTTGCTGTCATAGCAACAGTTCTGGTAGCTCAAACCAGGTCAGGAGCAGGCTCATTTCATATAAACAGGATTAGATCGGATCAGTTCAAGCAAAGAAAATACTGAAAGTATGAACCAAATTTTGATATTTTTTTATAGTAGTAGTTATGTAAAATTGGGAAAATAGTAAATAATTTAACTATATATATATATATATATATATATATATATATATATATATATATATATATATATATATATATATATATATATATATATAATAATAATAAATCTGCAATCTGCACCCCCGAAATGAAAATACAAAGACTGCCACCTGGTGGTGCAAAGAGAATATTTATTGATATGAACTTTTCAGATCGCTTTAGTACAATTTGTGTATGATAAAAGACATGCACAATATGTGACTTTTTAAAAAGAAATAATACATTTATGCAGTCGTAAACATGTTTTGAAAGTTAATATGACAGTGATTTGATGCTTCACAAAAGTTGCAGACGCCTTTACCAATATCAAAATGCTTTTGTAAACATTTAGTTATTCTTTACACCAATTAAAAATCCAGCTACTATAATACTACTATGGCTACTATAATAAGGAAAATTGTGTCTGTCTTTGGACTGTGGGGGAAACCGGAGCACCCGGAGGAAACCCACACAAACACGGGGATAATAATCAAACTCCACACAGTAATGCCAGCTGACCCAGCCGAGGCTCCAACCAGTGACCTTTTTGCTGTGAGGCGATCGTGCTACCCACTGCGCCACCATGCACCCATGTGTATTAGGATATAACTCACTTTGTTATTATTGTTCATTTATTAGTTTGTTGGAAATTAGAGCTGAATTTAGACATAGTTTTGAAACAAATCTTTGCGCTTAACAAACGAAATTAATTATGTAGGCTAATGGATGTCTGTGTGGAGTGTACAATACTGTTTTCTTATCCACGAAAGAAAAATAGAAAGAGAAAGTAAACGCTGATTGGAGGAGGCTCGTTCTTTATCGTCACAATGCGGATGCTCTGTTTACCTTTTTCCTCACTTGTGAAGCGTTCAGTTTTTCCACTTACAAAGTCCGCCTTGTAAATAGCAAATACGCCATAGAGCTCAACGGACTCTTAAAGGGAATGGGAGATGAGACTCTGATTGGTTTATTCACAAAACACACCCATAACTAGGCCCACACGGAATCTGCGCGCGCAGAATTCCACAGATTTTCCGCAGATTTTCCCAAGAATTCTGCAGATTTCTGCAGTTTTTTAGCCCATTATAAATTCTGTTTATTTACTTGAGTAAATGTGTAAATCGGAATTTATTCAGTTTTTATTCAGTAATTTATTACTTTTTATTTAATATATTAAAGTGTAAGTTATGATACTCCGCTGGATACCCCCAAAATAATTCTGCAGAAATCCGCAGATTTTTACCAAAATTCTCCGCAGAAATAGCAAAAAACGTCCGCAGATTCCGTCTGGCCCTACCCATAACTGGTTAAGAGAATAAGCTCAACCCTGTTAGACCTTGCACAGTGACCCAGACTGAATTTTTCCATCCTTAAAATAGCAAAAGTCCATTCGGACATGCCCTTAATGCTTTTGCGCCCTGCGCTTCAGATTTTGCACCTAGATAGTTAAAATAGAACCCATAGTGCTCAACAAAACAAAGAAACACATAGTTTGGAGCGACTTGAGGGAGCGTAAATAGTGAGTTCATTAATATTTTTGGATGAACTAGCCCTTTAAGGTGCATAGAGAGGTCAACAGAAAGAACACACTCTGACTGTGCTGATTTCTTTCCTGTGATGACACATTTTTTTTGACAAAACACAGGAAGGCATACATTTACATAGCCAACAGGCTTAAGTTACATCATAGCCATAAATCATGATTCACTGCTGGCTAATTTAGAGGGAGGGGCATTCTCATACGTGAAAGTGTTTGATTGGACGCACATTTAAAGTACAGGACAAGTCATCAACCTAATTAATTAAGGTTTAGCTAACATTCAAACTTGATCTAACTGAACGTTTGTTGCTTGTAGTGATTGCAGCTCCAGTCCGCCTCCAGGACGAATGTGTGGGGAATTCGTGTTATCCTAACCTCGGTGACCTCATGGTGGGCCGTGCTGCTCAGCTCGCAGCTTCTTCAACCTGCGGTCTCTACAGACCGCAAAATTACTGCATCCTGGGATATTTGGAGGTCAGTTGTCAAAATCGCAATACTTCAAGGGGTCCAGATGTCAGTGAGGGGCATGCGCTGTAAAAAATGTATGTCTTCAGAGTATTAAACCAGAAATGGAAGTGAATTCAAAGAGTTTCTTCCAGAACATAGCTCATTGGGTTTAATGTAGAAGCCTTCCTTAGGTTTTGCCGCTATACAGCTAAAAAAAGAACGTATGCTTCAAGGATATAAATTCTGAAGTCCTTCAGCTCTCAAGCAAACACATTTCCCTTAGGAATGCAAGTACAGTGAAGTTCGCTTTCTTAGACCTATTTGCATAACATCTTCCCAATCCTAGATTCCATCCTAAAATGGTCCCTTTTCAGCACCCCCCTAAGATAAAAGATTATTTCCTCTCCTTTTCAGCGTGGATTGACAGCGCTCTGGCCAACCCTTTGGGTAATACATACTACAGACAAGTTGTGATGTGCCTTCCTGAGCTGTTGTATAGGTCATTACCTCTTCTCCGCCACAAGACTAATTTATGCCTGTTTCCATATTCCCCTTTCCTCCCGCCCCAAACCCCCGGCCCTGTCTATACAGGTGATAAAGCTGGTATGTGGGTGTGTCGCATAGCACTTATTTTGTATATTTAGAGCACTTTTCATGGGTTCCAATAATAATAAAAGGAAGCTGCAAATGCATTTCGGACGGTTTCCTAGGTGTTAGGCTGAGTTTAGTGATGCGATGGACAGCTCCTGTTCATACATGCCCGCAACTAGAGTATATTGCACTTTATTGTCTCAACATTCTGCCTTGCTTCAGGAAATGCTTATGAGTTTTTGCTAGGAGAGACTAATTATACAGAATAATACATAACTGCAGGAGCTTCTGCATCTCCCTGCTTAAGGACGATTTTAAAAGCAAAACTCACTCTGGAAAATTCTCTTTATTTGTTCATTTTATTTGTTCTTTCTTCTGTGGAACATAAAAGGTGATGGCTTTTTGAAGAACGTCCTGGTGGGTCTTTTCAGTATAGCGAAAGTGAAAAAGACTGTCAAGCTCCAAAGAAACCCAGCAAAAACAGTCTATAAGACTTTATGCTCCGCATCTCTCCGAAAGTCCTCCAAAATCATTCATTGGTTTTGTAAGGGCCTGACTGAAATGGAAGTTGTTATTAGTTGATTATCCGCCATTATTCACTTCCGCGAGGTCGTGAAGTTGTCAGGTCCAGTCATTAAAGTCACTCTTTCAGTCACATATTGTACATGAATCCGTTCTGCTGACAAACCTCTCTGCGGTTAATTTCCCATTTGCTTTCTTTGCTTTAGAAGGCATTAATCCCTAATGATATCAATGCTTCTAATTTTCCAAACATCTTGGCCTTATGAGTCAGCTACGGCAAGCTAGCATCATTTGTTTTCTGCTGTAAGATCAGATATGTCATCTGATGAAATAGCAAGCACCAATATTTCATTGTGCATTGGTCTATTACAGTTATTTTTATTAAAAGGGGTCAAAAAAAGAATGTAAAAGAATGGTGAGCATTTTCTCTTTTCTCTCGCTTTTTTTTATTTTTTATTTTATTTATTTATTTTTTTAATTTATTTTATTATTATTGTTTATTTTACTTAATACACCATGCTGTCAACCTCAACGTCTGGAACCGACCTGCTTTTTCAATTTGAAAAATTTATGCACATCATATAGTGTTTATGCATGTCATATACTGTGTGTCGCACAGTATGAGGGTTATAGTGTGGTTTATTATTATTCTTTTAATCAATTTTGTACTGTTATATATATATTTTTTTTTCTTTTTGTACTGTTATTGTCTCTTTTTACTTTTGTTTGTTAACTGTCATAAAAATCTAATAAATAAATCTTATAAAGAAAAAAAAAAAAGAATGGTGAGCTGAGTGCATGGCTGAGTAACGTGAGAACCTACGAGACCTAGTGCGGGATTCAAAATGCCGTTGTCCGTCTGCTAGACAACAAACAAACTTCAGTGTTTTTTCCCCCCTGTTTTTTTCTTGTTTTTCCACTTTTCTACACACTTTTCCACCCATCTACAATCGGACTATACCATTACAACTGGATTATATATGGATATATATAATTATATATGGATATATATAATCCATATATGTGTATGTATGTATGTATGTATGTATGTAAGTATGTATGTATGTATGTGTGTGTGTGTGTGTGTGTGTATATATATATATATATATATATATATATATATATATATATATATATATATATATATATATATATATATATATATATAAATATATATATATATATAAAATCAATCCAGTTGTATTGGTATAGTGCAAAAGAATTGCCAGCAAATCAAGGGCTGCCTCCTTCTGTGGGCCCTGGGGCTTCAGCCTGACCTTGCCCTTTTGTTAATTAGTCTTTGTTAATCCGACCCTGCCTACTGAATAGGTTATAGCATATTAAAGAACTGTACTAGTCACAATTGAAATATATACTAGTCAAAGAATAATCACTACTAAATAATGAATAAATATTAATACTATTAACTGAAAAAGAGGCAGCATGGTGGCTCAGTGGTTAGCTCTGTCGGCAAGAAGATCACTGATTCGACTCCTGGCTGGGTCAGTTGGCATTTCTTTGTGGAGTTTGCATGTTCTCCGCATGTCAGCATGGGGATTCCTCCGGGTGCTCTGGTTTCCCCCACAGTCTAAAGACGTGAACTGGATGAAATAAATTGGCCGTAGTGTGTAAATGTGAGAGTGTATGGGCGTTTCCCAGTACTGGGTTGTGGCTGGAAGGGCATCTGCTGCGTAAAAAAACATATGACAGAATAGTCAGTGGTTCATTCTGCTGTGGCCACTCCTGATAAACAAGGGACTAAGCCGAAAGAAAATTAAGAAATTAATGAACTGAATAAGAGGCAGCATGGTGGCTCAGTGGTTAGCTCTGTCGCCTCACAGCAAGAAGATCACTAATTCGACTCCTGGCTGGGTCAGTTGGCATTTCATTGTGGAGTTTGCATGTTCTCCGCATGTCCGCATGGGGATTCCTCCGGGTGCTCCAGTTTCCCCCACAGTCCAAAGATGTGAATTGTATGAAATAAATTGGCCGTATTGTGTAAATGTCAGAGTGTATCGGCATTTCCCAGTACTGGGTTGTGGCTGGAAGGGCATCTGCTGCGTAAAAAAAACATATGACAGAATAGTCAGTGGTTCATTCTGCTGTGGCGACTCCGATTGAGCAAGGGACTAAGCCGAAGGAAAATTAATAAATGAATGAACTGAAAATTAGGAACTGGAGTAGTAGCAAGAAAAGAGATAACAGTACTGTATGTTTTAAAAATTAAGTGTTAAAGGGCCATGACACCCCCCACTTTCGGTTAAAGTCTACTTCAGAAGTTTTTCAAAAGATGCATGATTAATGGGCGTGGAGCTCCGCGAGCATCGGGCAGGAGTGGGCGTGGCCAGCAGGGGAGAAGGGGAGCGAACAACTGTTGTTGTCAGTTAGCTCACAAAATGAGACACAAACCGTGAGGAGACGCATGAGTTTATAGTTCACAAAGTTAAAATGCAAAGAAATAAACAGTAATTTAATGCCCTGCAACATTTGTTATTCGTAATTTCATATACAGACAACCACAATTTATATCATTATGAAGATGTGTGTTCATGTAAACACTATGAGGATTCTCCCTCGATCCCCGTGTCTAAATTTTAGATCCTGAATGCAGACTCAGTGCAGCAGGTCTCCTGACCTGTCAATTTTAACCATTAGCCCTGCTGGTAATCTGGAGGATTTAGGCAAACACAGCAGCACGGCGATGTGTCTGAATGTGAACGAACTCCTGATAAAAGTCAACGTCCGCCATTCTCTAATTCTCGTGCTGCTCTCCCGACAAAAATGCTTGCAGCACACACACAGCTTTGCTGTATGATCGGCCCTGACAGGATCGTGGGGAAAAAACATGCAACAAACCCTGTGGATCATGGAAACAAACACATACGAGCCTTCATGAACGGCTACGTGCCGTTGGTCTGTGTCTCACTCACAGCTTGCTTGAAACTGGCAGGTCTGCCTTCGGAAAGCGCGTGCTCTCATGAATAATTAAGCAGCCGGCTCTTCTCATAGGATAAGAAAACTCCGCTATGAATAATAATGAGAAACCGACGCGTCATCATTGCACTTGCAGTACTGCGCTACGTCGCCGATTTTGATCCCTCCCCAAAAATTATTTTAAACCCGGAAGCTGAAATTAGCTGACAAAAGCTCAAAATTATCCAGTTTTCCCCACAATTAAAGCTGACAGGTGCTAACATTGTCTTAACTGATGCTCAACACATACAAATCTGTTAATATAAAAAAAAAGTTCTCCACGGTGTCCTGAACCTTTAAAGTGGCCTGCCATAGACCACAAAAAAACTGAATGTCTTACTACAAGTTGATAAACACTTTATAAACACTTTACTACTGCCCTTTATTTCGCTATTCAGAATGAGCGCAAATGCTTCACCTGTGACTCCAGGAGCCCCTACAATGACCACCACAATCCCAGCAGCCACCGCATAGAGAACATCATCACCACCTTTCAGCCCGAACGCAAGATGAAGTGGTGGCAGTCCGAGAACGGTGCGTTCCACAAACTAACATCTCCGCACGAACTCCTTTGTTAACTTCTCCCTGCATCTGTAATTTAAACTTCCTTTTAAAAATCACAGGTGTGCATGAAGTGAGCATTCAGCTGGATCTGGAAGCAATGTTTCAGTTTAGTCATCTAATTCTGACTTTCAAGGTACATTCAGCTCTTCCAGTCTGACAAATCTCATTTAAATTTGAATAACTTGGTTTTTCACATAGGATTGAGTCAGCTGCTTGATAACAAATGCTCTCAAACAGAGTTTCCGGCCTGCTTCCATGTTGGTCGAGAGGTCAAAGGACTTTGGGAGAACCTGGAAGGTTTTTCGTTATTTCGCAGAGGACTGCGCCAACTCATTCCCTGGCATCTCTGAAGGACCAGCTCACAGTATTGATGATCTAGTCTGTGACAGTCGCTACTCTGGTGCAGAACCGTCCACTGAAGGAGAGGTACATTCACAAAAAATGCTGAAATAATCCAGCTTCTTTAGTCACTTGTTTACATTCAATTCAGCTTTGTCCTTTCTCTACTTTCCATTCAGGTGGTGTTAAAAGCATTAGATCCCAGTTTTGACATCCATGATCCATACGACTCTACTATTCAAGGTTCATGTCTCCTTTAGGGTTTTTTTTTTTGTTTGTTTTAGAAATAGCACAGTGATTAAGATGTCAAGCCTAAAGGCATGTCCAATAAGCAAAAGACCTTGATATCTAAAAGATGAGCTCACAGTGAGCTAGAAAAAATTCACTGTAAAGAAAATGTACAGTGTTCAAACATGTTATAACGAGAGGCGTTTGAAGCACACAGAAAAACAGATTTTTTATGTGTTTATGTGAGCCTGCTATTGGATATATATATATATATATATATATATGTGAGCAATATCCCACGAGTAGCAGTGCGATATGGCTGTATATCTGGCTGCTACGAGTGTGATATTGCATTTATACAACAGTTTGACGGCATAATTGTGTATATAAAAACAAAATCAAACATTGAGAGTCTCGAAAACCCTACTGTATGAGGAACTACTTTCTTCCGCGTTGGATTCAAATCATAAGCTGACAGTTAAACAGCTGAGCAAGCATCTTTTAAACTTTAGATCTGTAGTGTCTGCTTTTGCTGGCTGTATGTGGGCGGAGTAATACACAAAGGGTAAAGAGGCTGTACGGGGGCTGATATTGCTTAAATATATCACGGCTATGAGCCAATCAGATTCAAGAACCAGACAGAACTGTTGTATATATATATATATATATATATATATATATATATATATATATATATATATATATATATATATATATATATATATATCCAATAGCACGCTCACATAAACCCACAAAAAATCTGTTTTTCTGTGTGCTTCAAACGCCTCTCGTTATAACATGTTTGAACACTGTACATTTTCTTTACAGTGAATTATATATATAATATACACACACACACCATATATATATATATATATATATATATATATATACTATATAACTTTTTTAGATTGTATGCAGAATTCTTTGTCCACAAACAAAATTTATTAAATCCTCTCCCTTATTTGCCCATTTTTAATTGAAATTGAATCCTTGCTTAAAGCTTTACATTTATCTAAAAACAAAAGATTCTGCAAGTTAATAGAAACTTATGAAAATATCAAGCTTCTTCAAGTAAGTTAGTCTTTGATACTTTCTGTGTTTTTATTTAATTTCGTTCCTCCCCTTTCTTTATTTCGTTCTCTTTTTGTCCTTTTCTATTTCTTATTTGTTACTTATTGTTTTTATCACTTTGTAACTGTATGTACTTGTATTCCAGTCTCTTACAGATTATTTCCTGTATCATTTCCTAATTTCCATATCTATATTGTAGGCCTGCATTTCTTCTTTTCTAAATAAAAGTGTACTTAAAATAAATAAATAAATAAATAAATAAATGAATGAATGAAGAATGAATGAATGAATGAATGAATGGATGGATAGATAGATAGATAGATAGATAGATAGATAGATAGATAGATAGATAGATAGATAGATAGATAGATAGATAGATAGATAGATAGATAGATAGATAGATAGATAGATAGATAGATAGATAGATAGATAGATAGATCGGTAGATAGATGGATGGATGGATGGATAGATAGATAGATAGATAGATAGACAGACAGACAGACAGACAGATAGATAGATAGATAGATAGATAGATAGATAGATAGATAGATAGATAGATAGATAGATAGATAGATAGATAGATAGATAGATAGATAGATAGATAGATAGATAGATAGATAGATAGACAGACAGACAGACAGACAGACAGACAGACAGATATAGATGGATGGATGGATGGATGGATGGATGGATGGATGGATGGATAGATAGATAGATAGATAGATAGATAGATAGATAGATAGATAGATAGATAGATAGATAGATAGACAGACAGACAGACAGACAGACAGACAGACAGACAGACAGACAGACAGATAGATAGATAGATAGATAGATAGATAGATAGATAGATAGATAGATAGATAGATAGATAGATAGATAGATAGATAGACAGACAGACAGATATAGATGGATGGATGGATGGATGGATGGATGGATGGATGGATGGATGGATGGATGGATAGATAGATAGATAGATAGATAGATAGATAGACAGACAGACAGACAGACAGACAGACAGACAGACAGACAGACAGACAGACAGACAGACAGACAGACAGACAGACAGACAGACAGACAGATAGATAGATAGATAGATAGATAGATAGATAGATAGATAGATAGATAGATAGATAGATAGAGTGAGTAGCTTGACGTTGTGAGGACGATTTTGGTTGCCATACCTGACGAAGAAATGTCAGTATTTGAAGTCAATAAGACATTGGTTTAAGATGTTGGCTCGACGTTGGATTTTGGTCCCTTTCCAACACAACCTAAAATCAACCAAATATGAACACTGTTTCACATTGTTATTGGCTGTCAAAATAACATTGTTCTCAGATGCTGGTGACCTGAATCTAACCTAATATTAACATCGTGTGACATTGAGTGTCTGCTGGAGTCTCTTTAATGCATTTATGGGGTTTTAGGCTCATGCTGTTACTGATTACCCCTAGAGGAAAGGAACAGAAAGTGTAAATATCTAATAATAATCATTACTGAATAAGATTTTTAGGTCCCACTTTATATTAAGTGTCCTTAACTACAATGTACTAACATCAAAAAAATAAATACAATGTACTTCTGTGTTTATAATGTATTTGAGAACACTTGTAGTGCTTTTAAGTTGGGATAGGGGTTAGGTTATGAACAGGTTTAGTGGCATGGGTAGGTTTAAGGGTGGGTTAAGGTGTAAGGGATGGTCAACAGTGTATTTACAAATGTTATTACAAAAGTTAATTACAGATGTAATTACATGTATTTAATCAAGCATAAGTACACAGTAAATACATGTATTTGCACAATAAGTACATTGTAACAAACTATTCATTCCTGTGTTAGTACATATTAGTTAAGGCCACAATATAAAGTGGGACCGAAATTTATAATATCCTCCCCAAAACGGTGGACTGATATATTGTGCATCATGCTACAGAAGCAACATCATTCACTTCTTATAATCCTCAGGGCTCATCACCCTGACGAACCTGCGTGTAAACTTCACACGTTTGCTCACCCTGGGCGACACGTTGCTCACTCGACGGAAGAGGAACCCACAGGATAAGTACTATTACGCCCTCTATGAGATGGTGGTTCGGGGGAGCTGCTTCTGCAATGGCCACGCCAGTCAGTGCATTCCTGTGGACGGCGCACGTGGAGATACGTTTACTGAGCCTGGCATGGTGAGCTTACTCCTGCAAGACAGACAAATAGCATATCATAAATAGCTCCTAAAGAAATAGTTCAGCCATAGAAAGAACTTTTACTCACCCCAAAAGGTGTTATTTACTCATCAAAGTGGTTCAAACCTTGAGTTTCTTTCTTCTGTTAAACACACTAGTTAAAAACTTATTTTGAAGATTGGTGGTTACCTGTATTTTTGACCATAGCAGGAAAATATTCAGGAAGTCAATGGCTACTGGTTTTCATTATTCTTCAGAATATCTTCGTTTATGTCCAACAAAAGAAATTAACTCAAACAGGTCTGGAACAAATGAAAGGTGAGCAGATGATGACAGGATTTTCGATTTTAAATGAACTCCGATCTGCTTCGAATTGCAAATAAATTCAGTTTAATGCAGGGAGGCCTACTACTTTTCGTCTGAGCCAAGATAGCCTTTTATTCAATTCAATATGTTTCTGTCTGGCGAAGCAGTGGCGCAGTAGGTAGTGCTGTCGCCTCACAGCAAGAATGTCACTGGGTAGCTGGTTCGAGCCTCGGCTCAGTTGGCGTATCGGTGTGGAGTTTGCATGTTCTCCCTGCGCTCACGTGGGTTTCCTCCGGGGGCTCCAGTTTCCCCCACAGTCCAAAGACATGCAATACAGGTGAATTGGGTAGGCTAAATTGTCCGTAGTGTATGAGTGTGTGTGTGAATGTGTGTGTGGATGTTTCCCAGGCATGGGTTGCAGCTGGAAGGGTAAAAACCCCGGATTAATAAAGGGACTAAGCCGACAAGAAAATGAATGAATGAATGTTTTGTGTCTGTATTTAATGATATTTATTTATTTAACAGGGACAATGCTCATTCATCAGCAGTAGAACTGTAAATAAGCCAGAGTTTGCCACAAGGGCTAACTTTCATCTGTTGCCCCTGCTAGATTTTAAAGGCAGCCTAAAATAAAAAAAACACATTATCTCACATACAATAACAGTAAAACGACAAAAGGATAAAACATATAATAAGATTTTCTTAAAATTTTAGACAAAAGAGTTACACATGATTACAAACTTGACTTGCTTTTAGCCATTTCTTTAACTTCCCAGGTAGCAAAGAATTCTGGCCCAGATTTCTGGCACAGCAGGCATTCATCCGCCACTGGCATACAGCATGTGGGCCAAACATGGCCGGGGTTTGGCAGAAATGGTACTGTCTTTGAGGTGGCACACAATACTTTTAAAATGTAGAGTTTGGCCCAGATTTTAATAATTGATATGTGGGCCATGTTAGTTTGCCCTATCTTGACCCACATTTAAATATATATTTTTATTCAGAAGTTCACACTTAGCTCATGATTTATACATAGCTTGTTTGGCATGCTGTCCCGGGAGAAAGCTCTAAGCTTAAGGGATCCTCGAACCCAGGGTTCCCCCCTTTCGCAGGGCGAGGGGAGATTGAGCACAGGTCAATCTCAAACTCCCACGCTGCTGAGACCAAGGCGAACTTCCTGAGAGTAAGACGTTAGAAAAAAGGTTTAGGCTTATTTTATCCATAATATAGAGCACATTTGGATGGTGGGAGGAAACCGGGGAACCCGGGGAGAACATGCAAACTCCGCACAGAAATACCAGATGGCCCAGCGAGGACCCAACGCCTTTGGTATTCTTGCTATGAGGCAACAGTGCTAGTCACTGAGCCACCGTGCCGCCCATTCTGTATAAAGTTGGAAGAAGGAGAGGAGGGGGGGTTTCTTCCAGACGAAGATAGTTGTAGAAAGGGAATGAGGATATATATATATATATAGTGACTTGGGATCTCTGATTGGAGGATCATGATTAGCTAATGTGGACCAGCTGGGTCAATCATGAGCTCATGCTCCTCTTGAAATTAGTTTAAAATTAAACTTCACTTATTTTCAAATAACGAACAAAAATTCTACCAATCAGGTCGCTTCGAGATAAAGCACACCCATAGCACACCTAAAGATTAATGAGCTTATCAGTTTCATTACAGTCGTGACACACCAACATATCTGGCCCAGTTATGGATTATTAACCTGGCTGATACTTGGCCCAGATATGATCGATGTTTGGCCCTTGTCTGGAAGCCAGACTTGGTGCAGTCATCTTAAATAATTCACTGCAGCATGTGGGCCAAGCAAAAGCTGATTGTGTGGGCCAGAGATATTTTGCTATGTGGGTTATTTAAATGTTGAATAATTTGTAACACCCCTTAAATTAATAGGAAGTGTGTTTCAGAAATGGGAGTCTCTAAGTGATGAGACTGACCGTGCAAAAGTTGTACGCCTAAACTGCACAGCACAGTGTCCTCTAGTAATAGATTGATATTCTTAATAGATAATAGTCTTTAGAAATCATAATATCTAACACTTTGTAAAGATAATGAAAAGTCCTGAAAAGTCAGAGTCCGTTAAATAAACTCTTAAATCTTCCATATTATTATTATTATTATTATTATTATTATTTATTGCAATAATGACAGTACATTGCAACAAATACAGATGCAAAACTGAAAGAAGTATAGTACAATCAATAGGAATATTAAATTTTGAAATAAGTGAATTGTAACAAATTTAGAACAAATATAATATAGGTAAATCAAAATAAAGACAACGTGAGAGAGAAAGAAAGAAACAAAAATAAAGTAAATAATTGAGGGCACAAGAGAAAGATAAACAAATTATTGCAGAATATTAAATAAAGCACATGTTTTATAAGTTTAAATAGCTTTCTTGTTTTGAGAGTCTGTGATGGTTTTTAAATAAAAATCTAGTTCTCGTTTAAAAAATAAAAAATTAGGCTTACAATGAGTATATTTGCATTTGTGTATAAAAAACTTTCCAATAAATAAAATGAGGTTCATGCAAAAAGTTGAATTAAGGAATTGTTTATTTTAAAATAAAACCCCAAAAGAACATGTCTATAGCTTAAAGAAAAATCACTACAAACCTTTTGAACAGTTAGAGAGTTTACATCAGACCAAAAAGATTTAACAGGGACACTCCCAAAACAAGTGAGCTACAGATTCAGAAGAGGTTTCACAGAAAGAGCAAGAGATGTCAATGTCATTTTTGAATTTTTGTAAAAAATGTTTAACAGGATAAAACCTGTGAATGATTTAAAAAGATATTTCTTTAATTTTTATTTGTAAAAAAAAAAAGCTTCCATATTATTGTCGTCAGTTAGAGTTAATGTGTCTCACTCACATTTCTCTCTAGAGTGCAGTTAATAATATTCACAAGTTGTTAGGCTTTAGTGTACAAGAAAATGATTACAAAGGCTTTTATTCGTAAAGCATGTCTGCCTTTTATGATTTTAATGATTTTCATCTTTTTTTCTAGGTGCATGGCAGATGTGTGTGTCAACACAACACTGCCGGGTACAACTGTGAGCGCTGTCAAGACTTTTACCATGACGCCCCCTGGAGGCCAGGTGGAAAAGCAGACTCAGATGTTTGCAAACGTAAGTAGCACTCAGGTTGACTATTTACTATAGTTTGAACCTCAAACGGCAATTCAAAAGGCTTTTTAAAAATAAGGAATAGGGAATATGATGTAAAATAAAAATAAACACACATTACCACATTTGGCTCAACACTCAAAAAGATGTTTCACTAAGAAATCTCACTTTGGTGGTAATTCTCCAGGGCAGGGGTGTCAGAGTTTTGAAACCTTGCTTCAACACACTTACCTTTGAGTTTCAAACAAGCCTGAAGGACTTCGTTTGATCAGGTGTGTTTAATAAGGCTAAACTGTGGAGAGCTGTGGCCCTCCAGGAACTGGGTTTGACACCTGTGCTATTGGGACTTTCTCATAGGTGAAACCTTTTAGCAGTGTTTTGCTGTGTTTGTACCACAAAGCCTGGAAGGATTTTAGCTCCCGAAAACGCCATTTGGGGAAACTAAATTAGCTGTTACTTCAAAGCAGGGTCTAATACAGCAGGAACTACCATTCGTGTATGCTGATTGTGTGAATTCATGTGATTGAAGGACAGTGTTAAGACAGTGTATTATGGTATTGTATCTGCATACCATCTTTACTATCATAAGAGACACAACACTCAGAAAATACATCTTCTGTCACTGTGTCCTCCATCCCAGGTGTTGATTCTGTTGAATGCAGCACTTGATGTCAGTGTTGGACAGTTTATATCACTTAAGAGTTCCTTGTGATGATGTAAATGCAACCAGGAAAATGGTCTGTTGGGAAATTAGTTCTCAGGAAACCGGGCTTGGTGGCTAGCAAGGTTATTTTAGTAGGCCTAAACAAAACTAAAACTATGACCATTGGTCAAAAAAATGCTTATTATGTTACATAAAACTCATGAATGAAAAACTGAAATGAAATTACAGCATCAACCTACAGTAACAGGGCTCTGTTCTTGGGCCACTTCTCTTCTCCATCTACGCAACATCTTTAGGATCAGTCATCCATGGATTCTCCTACCACTGCTATGCTGATGATACCCAGCTATACCTCTCTTTTCACCCTGATGATCCCTCGGTTCCAGCTCGCATCCCAGCCTGCCTGTCAGACATTTCACACTGGATGAAAGATCATCATCTTCAGCTTAACCTCACGAAAACAGAAATGCTTAAAGTTTCTGCCAATCTGACTCTACATCACAACTTTTCAAATCCAGATGGACGGGGCAACCATTATCCAAAATGGTGAAAAGCCTTGGAGTAACGATTGATGACCAACTAAACTTCTTTGACCAGATTTCTAGAACTGCTGGATCGTGCAGATTCGCACTCTTTAACATCAGAAAGGTCTGGCCCTTCCTATCTGAACATGCAGCTCAACCCCTTGTTCAAGCTCTTGTTCTCTCCAGACTGGACTATTTCAAGTCTCTACTAGCCGGGCTTCCAGCTAACTCTATCAAACCTCTTCAGCTGCTTCAGAACGCAGCAGCACGAGTGGTCTTTAATGAACCTAAAAGAGCACATGTCACTCTGCTACTCATCCGTTTGCACTGGCTGCCAGTTGCTGCTCGCATCAAATTCAAAGCTTTGATGTTTGCTTACAAAGTGACTTCTGGCTTTGCTCCTTATCTGCTCTCACTTCTGCAGATTTATGTGCCCTCCAGAAACTTGCGTTCTGTGAATGAACATCGCCTCGGGGTTCCATCCCAAAGAGGGAAGAAATCACTTTCCCGAACTCTCGCATTCAATCTGCCCAGTTGGTGGAATGAACTCCCTAACTGCATCAGAACGGCAGAGTCACTCGCTGTCTTCAAGAAATTACCAAAAACTCAACTATTTAGTCTCCACTTCACTTCCTAATCTGCAATTGCCTCTCTGACTCCTCCACTAACTACAAAAAAATAAATAAATACTAATGTTTTGCTTCTTACACTGATTTTACACACCTGAAACTTGCCTACAGCACTTATTCATTGTTGCTCTTATAGTTGTGTAAATTGCTTCCTTGTCCTCATTTGTAAGTCACTTTGGAAAAAAGCGTCTGCTAAATGACTAAATGTAAATGTAAATTAAAGTAACAGTCACTGAAAACTAACTGAGATAAAATAATAATTAGCAAAAACAGTAATTGTTTCCGTATTAATAGTAGCCATTTTAACTACATTTATTATTTTTAATACAAAGAAGTCTGCCTGATTTCATCAGATTGTGTTGCTTTTCAAGCTGCATTTGTGTGGTTTTGGGGTTAGTGCCTGTTTAAACAATTCAATTATAGACAACAATTCAATTTAGAACTAAGAGATTTGCACAAGAGTTAATGTAAGCTGTATAAACATTACACTTTGCTTTGGTCAACTCTGTAACTCTGTAAACTAATATTACTAAAACAGAAACTATATATAAAAACTGAAACATGCTCACAAAATAAAAACTGAACTAAAACCAACAAAACCATTAATGCGACAATCTAAAACCAGCCTGAAATGAACAGAAAATTTTAAATAGTATTGAATAATAACCACAGCCATGTCACCCTGCAGCCTAGACCGGTTGCTCACTGCTGCTAAGCTGCGCTGAGTCTGATTAGTACCTGGATGGGAGACCACATGGAAAACTAGGCTGCTGTTGGAAGTGGTGAGGCCAGCAGGGGGCGCTTAATCTGCAGTCTGTGTGAGTCCTAATGCCCCAGTATAGAGATGGGGACACTATACTATCATTGAGCACTTTTTAATGAGACAGTGCACAGAAGTCCTTAATCTGTGGTTATTAAACATCCAATGGCTCTTCTTTTAAAGAGTATGGGTGTAACAACAGTATGACCAAATTTCCTTTATCTGCTCTTACTTGCACACTGGTGGTGGTAGTGGTAAGAAGAGATCCCCTCACATGATTGTAAAGTGCTTTGGAAGTATGGCAATACACAATACATGTATTTTATATAAAGTTCTATTTGAGTTCCTGTTACTGCCTGATGGGAAAGCACATTATATCACACCACCAGGGCCTGATTAACCAATGGGCATTATGGGCACGTGCGCACTTGGGGCCCCTGTGAGGGGGGAAAAAAATGCAGATTTTGGAGTGTCTATTTAGGCTAAATGCAAATAGCACACCTTGTTCGGAATAAGCTATTTGAGGGATTTTCCGCCCATCACTGTTTGATTGACAGAGACAATAACTAAAGAGCACAATTGACAGTAGTGTGAGTGGCGTAGCTCGGAAAGTGCATGCATGGCAACATGTTTTGACACGATCGATCATCAACCAGTTGGAATCCAGCATCTGATGAACTCATTCTTCTTTTTTTCCCCATTACATTTCAGATTGAAAATATGTTTATTTTTAATAGAAGCGAAAAAATTTTTGTTTAAAAATGAAAATAATTAGAATGTGGAAATAAAGACACAAGTGGCTTGTGGGTATTTAATAAAGTTTAGCTTATTTTACATGTGTATAAACAGCATCTAAATAGTTATTTAATTGTTTCTATAAACAGCTACTTTCCACCTGGTGTTAAATGTTAGCAACATCTTAACATAACTAATTTGTATTTACAACGAATACCCTTTAAAGTATACAGTTGAAGCCAGAATCATTAGCCCCATATGGAATTTTTTAAAACATTTTTAAATATTTCCTAAATTATGTTTAACAGAGCAAGGACATTTTCACAGTATGTCTGATAGTATTTTTTCTTCTGGATAAAGTCTTATTTGTTTTATTTTGGCTAGAGTAAAAACAGTTATTAATTTTTTAAACTTCATTTTAAGGACAAAATTATTAGCCCCTTTAAGCTATTATTTTTTTCGACTGTCTTCAGAACAAACTATTTTTATACAATAACTTGCCTAATTACCCTAACCTGCCTAGTTAACCTAATTAACCTAGTTAAGCCTTGAAATGTTACTTTAAGCTGTATATAATCTTGAAAAATATCTAGTCAAATATTATTTACTGTCATCATGGCAAAGATAAAATAAATCAGTTATTAGAGAAGAGTTATTAAAACTATTATGTTTAGAAATGTGCTGAAAAAATCTGCTCTCCGTTAAACAGAAGTTGGGGGAAAAAATAAACAGGGGGGCTAATCATTCTGACTTTAGTACTGCTTTAGTGAATTTGAATAAGTACACTAAAAACTATTAATTTTCACTAATTTTATTAGTATTTTTTCTTAATCAAAGTGTGCTTTAAATGCTTTAAAAATAAGTACAATATGTGTAGACTATAAATATATGTAGGCAGGCAATAGAATATTTATTTATTTTATTAAAAAACATTATAATATTCTTATTGTTTAATTCAACTTTAGGGGTTCGGCCGGGTAGGGGGCCCAACAAGACAATGTGCCCAGGGGCCTCTGAATTCTTAATCCAGGCCTGCACACCACTCAGGAGTTTTTCCAACTTTTTTTCATGCTAACATTCCCACATGCTAACATAAATCTGCTCTTTAATGTTCTAGGTTGTAACTGTCATGGCCATTCAGAGAAGTGTCACTTTGAGTTAGCGCGCTATCTGGCCACTGGTGGGGTTAGCGGTGGTGTGTGTGATGACTGCAGGAACAACCGCATTGGACCTCAGTGTGAGCTCTGTGGGCCGTTTTACTACCAGGACCCTCAACGCTCTGTGGACGACCCTTATGCCTGTATACGTGAGTTACCTTGTGCCAAAAAAATTGATGCATATTCTACAGTGTGCTTTACATCATCTCAAATATCAATTTCATTCAGGCAGAAAATGCACTGGGAAAAAGGATCCCACATGTCTCTGTTTTGTCCTATTTCATGTCCAGCTTGTGACTGTGATCTTGATGGGTCGGTGGACCGTGGTCTGTGTGATCCAGTGAATGGCCAGTGTGTGTGCAAACAAAACGTCGAAGGAGAGCGATGTGACCGCTGCAAGGTTGGGTTTTACGGATTCAGCCGGGACGATCCTAGCGGCTGCCAGTGTAAGTGTTGATTCACCCACCGAAGGGTTTTTCACAGCTGAAATAGGTAACCCTGGAGAGTTAATAACTCAAACGTGGTGCTAATGGGACTCCAGAACAGGGTTTCATAAATGCAATTAAAAGGCATAGTTTAGAACAGGGGTCACTAATCTCGGTCCTGGAGGGCCGGTGTCCCTCCAGGGTTTACCTCCAACTTGCCTCAACACACCTGGCTGGATGTTTCAAGTATACCTAATAAGACCTTGATTAGCTTGTTCAGGTGTGTTTGATTAGGGTTGGAGTTAAAATCTGCAGGACACCGGCCCTCCAGGAACAAGTTTGGTGACCCCTGGTTTAGAATAACAAGTGGATTCTGAAAATCCTAAATTCATTTATACATTTACTAATTTATCAATCCTTAACTTATTTATACATATCAAGTGTGCAGGTGTAATTTCCTGGGAACCATACAAGTGGGCAACCCTTGCGATCCGACAACAGGAAGGTGTATCTGTGAGCACTTCGCTTACGGCTCACAGTGTGACCAGTGTCTGGTGAGTGTCTCAATCAGACCCAAGCACATAACCATAACTGAGTTACACTTTAAAGAGCCCATATTATACATGAAATAGGGTCATATCTTGGTTGTAAGGGTCTCCAACAACCGTCTAATATGCATGCAAGGTCAAAAAACACTTTCATGGTCTTATAATCTGCATTTATTTTTACCTAATTATTCCAGCGACTCCCGTATGAATCGTCCAGTGATTCATTTGTTCCCAAACCCCTCCTTAGCGCGAAGCTAATCTGCGCTGATTGGACCGATGACAGTCTGTTGCGATTGGTCGACTGCCTTCAGTCAGAGAGTGAAATGCACACAAACACACATATTGCCCTCGTCCTTGCGCGCGCGCGCGCACACACACACACACACACACACACACACACACACAAACCCACACACACCTCCGGACGACAACGCTTCCGCCCGCACCCGCCAGTTTTTAGCCTGAACCCGACCGCTCCCGCTTATATTAAGAATTTGTTGTCCCGGTGCCCGACCCGCCCCGTTTTCTGCCCGCCGCGCCCGATCCCGCTACAGAGCAGGGGAGAACATAACCGAAAATCCCCCAGCTAAACAGTCCAGACAGCCAAGCTGTCTGTATAAACACACACACAAGCACCAAGCAAACACACAGGCAAAGCTCTCTTTCTCTCTCATTCGCATAGCAATATCCGCGATATTGCTAGACAGCCCGCTCCCATCCCAAATTAAACCCGTTACCGACTGCTCCTGCGATTTATTCGGAAATGTATTCCCGCGCGGCAGAAATCTGGTCGTGTCCTGCAGCGGGAATGCAGACCTCTACGCATGGAGCTCCGTAAACAAAGCAGCACGCGTCGCGTTTTTAACGTGGCTTTGCGCGCGATAAGAGAATATAGCCAGTTAACCTGATACAGTACACGCGGTTACAAGTAACAAATCACAACTAAATACATTTGCAAGCTAGAGTCAACGAGGCAACAACTTTAATCGCACGTACTACTTGAGAAATGGAGGAAGAAACCCATCCTGACATGTCCAGCAGTAAGTTACTCTTTACTGATCCTTCCTTTAACAAACGGCGATGAAGTATTCTTTGTAGCATGTAGTTTGCAGAAGTTTCCAGTAGTTTCCAACTGCTTGGTTATAATGCTGAGGTTTCATCTTTGGGTAGAGATTCGATAATATCCTCCTGCAGTGTGACTTCAATCGACCGGCATGTTTGTGTGCGTGTGTTTGTGGGTGTGTGTGTGTGTCTGCGTTTCTGCGTCAGAGGGCGGGGCCTCAGGTTTGAAATCTCCCGGGTTTGCGCGTGCACGTGAATAACTTGGTTTTGTTCGTACGTCATGGCGAAACACCTGATGACTCGTTATCAAGGCGACTCGTTTGAAGCACTTTGAGTCGACTCTTATAGATGAATCAACAGTTTTAAACACTGTATTCTTACAGATTTAAGCCTTAGCTGGATACATCACTTCACTTAGAGCTGTGTTACACACTACATGGAGGGGAATTTTTAAAAACCCATAATACGGGCTCTTTAATATTTGATTCCCACTTTTCCAGCCAGGTTACTGGGGTCTGGGAAACACAGTCTATGGCTGCATACCCTGCGACTGTGACATTGGAGGGGCACTGAAAACAGAGTAAGCTACTATAGTTTCCTATCTACAGTACATTACTTCTTCTTCTTCTTTGGCCTTAGTCCCGTATGATTGCGGGGTCGGCTCCTACAGTACATTACTAATATTTGATAAATTGTTTACAAGATGGTATGTGTATATCCTCCACACAGATGTTCCTCGGTGGATGGCCAGTGTAAATGCAGGCCTAACATGGTCGGCCAAAAATGTAATGATCCGGCTCCTGGATATTTCCTGGCTCCTCTTGATTTCTACATCTATGAGGCTGAGAACGCAGCACCTCTGGTAAGAATGAATGGTCACATGTGATTTTTCGGTGACACTTTATTTTGATGGTCCATTTGAGTATTAGTAGACTTTCTGCTTAATATCTGTTGATAATGCTTCTTCAGCAGACATTTAACTGACTGTAAGAAACTTTGCAAGTACATGTCAACTTACACTAACCCAAACCTAACAGTCTACTTATAATTTAATGATAATTAGTTGCAATGTAACATAAATTCAACAAACCCACCACCAAAATAAACCGTGACCAATTTTTCAGCAAACACTCCAATATGACATTGCACAAAGTGAATGCCAATTCACAAAGTACGATACATGCTGATCAACGGCTAATCCATATCCATTTCCTTCCTCTAAACCCAATAACAGTTTAATAGCAATCATGTAGAAGTGCATAAATCCGTAAGCCTAAACTGTAAATGTATCCCTTAATTCTGATTGGCTGATTGAAATTTTGTTCCAGGATCAACTTAGATGTTAACCCAGGAACATGTCCCACTTGTGTCACGGTTGCAGGTTTGTGCGCCTTCCGGAGTGTCTGTTTTGTCACGTGGGTTTGTTTTGTTTTGGTGGTCACACGTTACAATAAGATTCATTAGTTAATGTTAATTAATGCATTTACTAACATGAACAAACAATGAACAATACATTTACTACAGTATTTGTTCATGTTAGTTAACGTTAGTTAATGGAAATACAGTTGTTCATTGATAGTTCATGTTAACTCATGGTGCATTAATTAATGTTAACAAGCATGGACTTAAATGTTATTAATGCATTAGTAAATGCTCAATTATGATTAATAAATTCATGATTAGTTCATGTTAGTAAATGCGTTACCTAATGAACCTCATTGTAAAGTGTTACCGTTTTGGTTGTCCACGTGTATTTGTTATGGTCACGTGTTCTGACGGTACTCAGCTGTTTTGATTAGCTCACCAGCTGAGGTTCATTATCGTGTCTATATCAGGGCAACGCTTCGATGTTTCCTTGTCAGTTCGTTGTGTTTGCTCATGTGTGTCTGTCTGTGCTCAGGACAGGCTGCTGGACCCGATTCGTTTGTCGGTTTCCCGTTTGTCACAGCCATATTTCCCTCAAGAACTCTCTATTACTCTGTCCTGTTTAGTTTATTCTGACTGTGTCAAATTAACTTTTACTTGCATTTTGGATCCTTCTCAGTATCTTATTAGCCCGTGACAACTTGGTGCACTGCAAAAAAAAGCTTTTCTTTCTTAGATTTTTTTGTCTTGTTTCTAGTCCAAATATCTAACAATTCTTAAATCAAGAAGAATTTTCTTGTCAAGCAAAACATATAGGGCCCTATCATACACCCGGCACAATGTGGCGCAAGGCGCGGCGCAATAGTCTTTTGGTAGTTTCAGCTTGGCGCAAGAGTCGTTTTGAGGCGTTTCGCTACGCTGTTTAAATAGCAAATGCATTGGCGCTCATTTGTGCGCCCATAGGCGTTCTGGTCTAAAAAGGAAGGCGTTCTGAGGCGGACCGCTGGCGCGTTGCTATTTTGAGAAACTATAATAGATTTTTCATTATATCAAAACAAACCTGGTCTAAATTACAGCACAGAGTTGCGCCTCGCTTACACAATGCTTAATACGCACAAGAGACCAATAGCCAAATATCTTTAAAGATGAAAAAAATTAAATATTAAGGATATATATAGGATATAATAAGAATAGATATAGGATATAAATATAAAGGATTAAAATATTACAAAACATATTATTTTCTAGCCTACATAAATATGAAAAATCACTGCTTTTATGTCTTCTTCATCTCGGGAGGCTTTTTCAGTTCATTCATAACAATTTGCTTTTGTATAATGTTATTATTATTAGCAGTATTATTTATTATATCCATATTTATATTTGTTTTATTAAAAACAAGCTTAGATTTGGCCACCTGTCAGGTTTTAGACCATATGGGGCACAGCATGTGTTTTAGGATATAACTCAGGTTTTTGAGCACACTTCGTTATTGTTGTTCATTTATTCGTTTGCTGGAAATTAGAACTGAATTAAGAAACAGTTTTGAAACGGGCGGGTTTATGGCGCGACGCAGCTGGCTCTTAAAGGGAATGTGAGATGAGACTCTAATTGGTTTATTCTCAAAACACACCTATAACTCATTAAGAAAATAAACTCAACCCTTTTAGACCATGCGCCACGGCGCAAAGCAGATTTTCCCGTCCTTAAATTAGCAAAAATGCGTTCTGACTCGCCCTGAAAGCATTTGCGCCCTGCGTTTTGCGCATGGACCGTCAAAATAGAGCCCCTAGTCTTGTTTTAGGAAATAATATGCCAAAATGAAGTGAGTTTTGTCTTAAAACAAGCAAAATAATCTGCTAATGGGGTAAGAAAAATAATCTTATGTCAAAAAGAAAAACAAGATTATTTTGATTACCCCATTGGCAGATTATTTTGCTTGTTTTAAGGAAAAACTAACTTAAAATTGGCATATTATTTTTGAAAACAAGACATTATGTTTGCTTGCCTAGAAAATGCTTCTTGATATCAGAATTTTTAGGTATTTGGACTAAAAAAAGACAAAAAATCGAAGTAGGAAAAGCCTTTTTTGCAGTGTGAAAACAGGTTGGCATTGATGGTAAGGGTCACGAGGGTTGGGTATCAGCCAACATTGGTCCATCGGTTGGTATCGGTCAGGTTTGTTTTTTGCCGTGTTCCTCATGTCTGTTCCAGCTGTGATTGGATGTAGCAAATTAGCCTGTACATGAGAATAAAAGCTTTGAAAAAAGAGATGAAAGTGAGCAAAGAATTCAAAGGCAAAGACAGAAGGTTGTTCTGATGTTACTTAATCTTACCTGAGCATTTCAGCATGCGGATATTTTCAAAACAACACAACACTGACGGCTTTTGACACTGTTAGTTCTTTGAAGTCAGCTTGGTGTGTCACTACCTTAACAGACAATTTGTCAGGTTTTGTAGGATCAATGTATTACCCCTGACAGTGTGTTAGCTGACGCTTGTTTTCAGTAACGGAACACTGAATCCATATTTGCCAGGACATGGAATCATTTTCCACATTGGTTGGCATCTGTCAATGTAGTGTGAATTAGAGGTCTGCAGTACAGCCACGGGACCCGACCAAATTTCTTGCGGCGCGGGTATAAATTTCCAAATAAAGAGCGGGATTGGTCGGTAACTGGTGTAATTTTGGACGAGAGTGGGCGGTCTAACAATATTGCTCCCGACTTGCGAACGAGCGAGCACGCGAATGTATGTGTGTGAATTTAGCTTGTTTGTTGCTGTCTATGTGTGTGTGTGTGTGCGCAGATGAGAGAGAGCTTTGTGCTGTCTGTGTGTGTGTGAATGAGAGAGAGCGTGATGCTGTCTGTGTGTGTGTCACTTGCTTGGTTGGTGCTTATTTGTGTGTGTATTTATACAGACAGTTATTGTTATAGGCTGTCTGGACACTGTATAGCTGGGTGGTTTTTGGTTTTGTCTCCCCCCGCCTTTAGCAGGAACGGGCTTAGCGGGTAGAAAACAGAGCGGGTCAGGCAGCGGGACAACAAATGCTGAATATAATTGGGAGCGGTTGGGTTCGGACTAAAACCTGGCAGGAACGGGCGGGACCGGGATTTAAAATTTAGTCCCGTGCAGATCTCTAGTGTGAATTGGCCTAACACATCAACAGTGCATCCACTCCACTGCAATTTTGGAAATTTTAGTTTTGCATTCTTAAGATTGACTAAGATGTCATGCCATGATGCATCAGTCTTTAGTCTTAATTTGTATATTTATAAATCAGGGGCCCGCAGGTCGATTTTGTGTTTGTGGCCGCGCCCTAATTTAAAAGTTTAATGTTAGTGCGGCCCACAATTTTGATATGTATAGCACTTTACAGTGTTGTGTGTGGAGCTGAATGAACTTACCAATCACGGTGGGGTATATGGCTCTAGGGGTGTGACATCGGCTGGGCTTGACATAGGCAGAGATACATTTCTCATTTAAAGTTACAGCAGTGTTGCCATAGAGTGTTATTCACTTTTAAATTGTTTATTTTATCTTATTTTGTGCAGAAAAAAAATCCAATCTTCTCAAATCTCTATTTTTATTTTTTAACACAAAATAAGATGAAAAAAATAAATGAATTAATAACTAATAATATAATTAATTTCCTTTGGGAAACCTGATGCAGCCCACCCTAACTCAGTCTCTGCCTCCAGCGGCCGCCAGAGAAATTGAGTTTGAGACCACTTGTATAAATGGATGTTAACAAAACAAAATGAGGGTTTTCATTCGGTTCAACAGCAGTTCATGACTGTAAGGGTATACTCACATTATGTACAATTATGTACAATACGTACAAATCCCGTCTCCCCTGACGGCCCGAACTCACATTACATTCAGGCCTGGGCACGCTTACATCATCGATGATGCGCTGCTCTGTTCAGAAGCGCTCTTGTTCAGCACAGTGGGGATTTCTTTAAATATATCGTTTTAGTCATTTGGGATGCGGTGACACGCAGTCAGATAATTCGCCGAACAGATCAGCCACTTTTGACGCCAAGCAACAAGGGCCGGCCAATTGAACCATGCCTGAGCCTGATTCAGAGCACTCACACTTCTCCAACAATCCGGAAAACAGGCCTGGGCACGCCAAGTCAAGATAAATACTATAAGATAATTTTTTCAAGACGAGATAAGATTTACATTGCACAATATATATCAAAATTCTTTTCATTTCTTAGATGTGTGTACCTGCACTGTAAAAACAATAGTAAGTTGTTGTGACTCAATATTGAGTCAAAAATGGACAAACCCAACTATTCGGTCAAAAAGCGTCAAATTTAATAAAAAAAATTAACCTTCTGTTCGTTTATTCATATTTGTCTCAAAATTGGCTTATGACAATCCAGAAATTTGTTTAGAGTGTGTGTTCAATGTGTATGAAACCACAACATTTCACCAATTTCTAATGTTTAATTAACATGTAAGGTACTTTAAATGAGAAAAAAGTCCACTCTACATCTTCCACTCTTTGCTTCCACAGGCGGTAATCTCTCCTTTTATAGGTCCCCCTCCATTTGTATACCCCACTGAAGGGATACCTGAACGACCAACCAAGCTTCCTCTCTGCCCCCCTGCTCCGAAACCCAGCTCAGTACCTTATAGAGAACATATAACAGTGCAGCCATCTCCAGCCCCACACAACCCCCAAGTCACGCTGCCCATGTGTGAGCACTACTTCAGACAGAGGGGTTATGACTTTAAGATCAGTAACGGAAGGCTTGTGGTGGTCAAGCGTGAGAAAAGGCAAACTCGAAGACGAAGACAAGGCCAGGTGAGGCTCTTAATGACTTTTTATTTATAATCTACACTTTATTAGGTATACCTATCCAACTGTCCGTTAACGCAAATTTCTAATCAGCCAATTACATGGCAGCAACTGAATGCATTTAGGCATGTAGACATGGTGATGATCTGCTGCAGTTCAAACGGAGCATCAGAATGAGGAAGAAAGGAGATTTAAGTGACTTTGAAGGCAGCATGGTTGTTGGTGCCAGACGGGCTGGTCTGAGTATTTCAGAAACTGCTGATCTACTGGGATTTTCACCCACAACCATCTCTAGGGTTTACAGAGAATGGTCTGAAAAAGAAAAAATATCCAGTGAGCATCAGATCTGTGGGTGTAAATGCCTTGTTGATGCCAGAGGTCAGAGGAGAATGGCCAGACTGATTTGAGCTGATAGAAAGGCAACAGTATCTCAAATAACCACTCGTTACAATTGAGGTCTGCAGAGGAGCATCTCTAAACATACAACACGTCCAACCTTGAGGCAGATGGGCTACAGCAGCAGAAGAACGCACCGGGTGCCACTCCTTTCAGCGAAGAGCAGGAAACTGAGGCTACAATTCACACAGGCTCACCAAAGTTGGACAATAGAAGATTGAGAAAACGTTGCCTGCTCTGATGAGTCTCGATTTCTGCCGTACCATTTGGATGGTAGGGTCAGAATTTGGCATCAACAACATGAAAGCATGGACCCATCCTGCCTTGTATCAATGGTTCAGGCTGGTGGTGGTGTAATGGTGTGAGGGATATTTTCTTGGCACACTTGGTGCTGATTAGTTCCAACTTTGGCCCTTTAGTACAAATTAAGCTTAATGTCAACTCCACAGCCTACCTGAGTATTGTTGCTGACCATGTCCATCCCTTAATGACAACAGTGTACTTATCTTCTGATGGCTACTTCCAGCAGGATAATGCACCATGTCATAAAGCGTGAATCATCTCAGACTGGTTTCTTGAACATGACGATGAGTTCACTGCACTCAAATGGCCTCCACAGTCACCACAACTCAATCCAATAGAGCACCTTTGGGATGTGGTGAAAAGAAAGATTTGCATCATGGATGTGCAGCTGACAAATCTGCAGCAATAACGTGATGCTATCAAGTCAATATGGAGCACAATCTCTGAGGAATATTTTCAGTACCTTGTTGACTCTATGCCACAAAGGATTAAGGCAGTTCTAAATATAAAAGGAGGTCCAGCCCGGTGCTAGTAAGGTGTACCTAAGAAAGTGGCCGGTGAGTGTATGTGTATAATGTATTTATATCTTGGCTCAAATCAGTTGCTCCTTGTTGTTCCATATTCTTGCTTAAATGTAAAGGAGATAGAGCTTTCTCTGTTGCAGCTCCAAGGCTCTGGAACGACCTTCATCTGTCTGTAAAATCTTCTTCAACACTAGCTTTATTCTGATTGTACTAAAACCTTTTTCTGTTGCTTTTAAAAAGGTCTTGTTGGATTTGTTTCTGTTTCTCAATATTGTTTCTTTTTTCTTTGGTTCCACATGTGCTGTTAAAAGTGCTTTAGAAATAAATTGAGTTCAGTATAATGGTGTGTGATCAAATGTGATTATCTTACCTTGGCTGTTCCCATGCAGAGGACAATCCCCTTTGAACCAGGCTCACCTCTTCAGATCCTCCTGCGCCAACGTGCCAATGATCAGTCCATCACGTGGACTGGATTGGGTTTTGTGCGAGTTCAGGATGGAGCTGGACTTAGATTTACCGTCAGCAACATCCCAGCAACACTTGACTATTATGTAGTTGTCCGCTATGAACCAGAGGTCAGCCAGTGTTTTTGTTCAATATTTGAATGTGGATGTTTGTTTGAGATGTTCTGGTCCATTTCACGTTTATGTTTTCTCAACATTATCTTTGCAGTCCACCGATGATTGGACAGCTATTGTGAGCATTTTATCTTTTGGATCAGAGGATGAACGGTGTCCGAATGACCAATCAAACAAAATGTTTACTCTTCCTGCCTCTGGAAGGTGAGAAGGTTATACAGTATTTTTGCATGTATTTAATGGCTATTTTGATATCTTTTGTTGTGTGCCAGTTTAGTAATGGTAAAAACCTGAATTTATTGTCTATCCATTGTTTAGTTGTACGTATGTCATTCTAGACTACAATGTTTTAAAGATTTTTTTGTTCTAATTTTTTTGCCATACAGTGAAAGGTTTCTTGTTGAATATTGTTGCTGACTCTATTAACATCATACCTGCCAACAGTTCCTTTTTTACCGGTAGTCTCCCGTATTTCATACCAATCTCCCGCCACCCTCCCGTTTTGTTATTTCTACCAGAAAGACTCAGGCGGTGGATAAACGTTTTAACATTTATTGAAAAAAGCATAAAACATTGCAATTTCAATTACTGTCCTTTGTGTAAAGTCCTTTGGCCCAAGCCCTGTCAATGATGCAGGTCTCTTGAAGAGCTGGCAAATACTGCCTAAAGATGAAGACAGGGCAGAGCCAACCCCCTGTGAGAATGGGGCCCAACCTAATGGTAGTGGAGAGGATGAAGGGAACTTTGGCTATGCCACCAATGAACAGCGAAGGAAATTGGTTAGGTGGCTTATTTATATAACTCGCTTGATCATTATTGGCTGAATTGATAATTATGAAGAATGACAGAATTAGAGTCTTCCTGGTAGAACCTTCGCTGAATCCTGTAATTTCAAGCCCCCCGGTGCTAAACTTTTTGGTACAGTCTTTAACACCCCCTGGTTGCCAACTTTGGTATAGTATCCCGCTCGAAACCCGGTGCATGTTACAGTTAATTACCTGGTTCTCATTTGTTTTTTTTCAGACTACTCACCCCCGACACCAAAACCCCAACCACCCCCCACACAGTGTCGAGATCCGAAAGTGCAAGTGTTTTGAAACACTGCACTGAAGCATAATCCGAAACACCCAGGTCACATGACTAAGGTGATTTGAAACACCTAGGTCACATGACTAAAGTGTTTCAAAACATCAGGTCATGTGACTTAAGTGTTACAAAGCTTCAGAGTTTTTATTTTTGTCACCTGGCTAATCTGTGTTTGATTGACAGGTCTGCACAGAATAACTGTGCTGCAAATGGCCTTGAGCTGGAATCCCGACTTGTACAAATACTCTGAAATTATGACTTGATGGATTTTAATAACGTTACTTTTTTATGACCAAAACATTACATATTTATTCACAAAGTGCTCATTCGGATATCAAACCGATGTTAAAGCAAAACACGTACAAGAACAAAGCATTTAAAAACTAACATCTATACCTGCATCATCCTGGATTCGAACCCATTATCTCAGAATGCCGTTTAGGAACAATCACCGCTTCACTAAAACAATTGAAACCGCTACTCTACAACATGGAGTTTAATACCTCAATTTGTTTAACTGTTTCTGTGCTGAAGCTGCCCCAAAGCAATACATAAAAAATGACCACTAGTTGTCACTGTAGAGACGGGTTTCAAAACGTTTCGAAGCTTCGACATATTTGCTTAGATGTTTCAATTGTTTGCCTAGGTCTTGTGCACTAGAGTAAAGTGTGCAATTTAATATTCACTGTTGAGAGTCCAAACACTGAAGAGCAAATCCATCGATGCGCAGCTCTACAAGTCCCGAACCATGCAAGCCCTTGGCAACAGCGGCAAGGAAAAAACTTCAACAATTGGCGAAAGTGAAGGATAAAAAGCCTTGAGAGAAACCAGGCTTAGTTGGCCAAACGTCATGTGTAGAGCTGCAGTCTAGGGGCCTACTCACACTATGCCATCCGTACCGTGCCCAGGCTCGTTTCCTGGATCGTTTGAGAAGTGTGAGTGCGCTGAATCGGGCTCAAGCACGGTTCACTTGGCCGGCCCTGGCCCGGTTGGAAGAGGTGTGCCTGAGCGCGGTTCACTTGGGCTGAAAGCGAGACGTGACTTTTAAGGGGCTGTTTCATATGGATTTATTAATCATTCTTACTGTTCAGTGAACGCAAACTGCCGTCGTTTATTAAAGACGCAAACTCCTCACTTCACGACAGCTGCGCGCCTTCAGCAGACCTCCTCATTCCTGCAGCACGAGGGCTTTATGATTGTTTATGAGCGCCAAAAGTGGCGGATCTGTTCGGCGAAATATCTGACTGCGTGTCCCCGCATCCCTAAGCACTGTTTGGCGAAATATTTGACGGCATATCAAACGACTGAAACGATATAACTGGAGAAATCTCCACTGTGCTGCTGAGTGAGAGAGCGCTTCTCACTGAACAGCGCAGCAGTGATGACGTAAGCGTGCCGAAGCCCGTTTGTGGTGTGAGCGCGGGCCATCGGGGGAGACGGGAGGGGGGACAAGCGTGCTTTGGCCCGGTTCGAGGCAACTGTACCTAGTGTGAGTACAGCCTAGGTGCAAGAGGCTGGAAAACGCTGGTCGTCAGCAAAGATTTGTCTGTCCCTGGACCGTCACAAGAATCAGTTTCATGCTCTCCACTCCTCCATGACTACCACAGCAGCTGCTCAGGATACGGCCTGGTCCGGGTTTTTGGAAACCTTGAGATCATCTCTTCACAGGTCTTGGATCGCATCAGTGGCGCTGCAAAATCTCTTGGGGCCTCGGGATGAGTATCCGCTGGTGGAAATAGAGAATAATGTGTATAATTAGCCTAGCTGGTCATAGTGCATATAAACAAGATGCGTGGGGCACATTCATGCATCATACCTCTATGTAATGCATTAAGTGAGTGCTTTACTAAATTGATAGGTCTTTAAGCTAGTTTTGAACTGCGAGTGGGTCTGAGCCTCAGACATTATCATGAAGCCTATTGCAGAGTTTAGGAACCATAAATGATAAGGCTCAACTTCCTTTACTCGACTTTGCTATTCAAGGTACTATCAGAAGCCATGAGTTTTGAGGAGGTTGGTTAGATAAACAGGAGCTAAATTATTTAAAAGATTATTTTCAAAACTTGAATCTAACTACATTTTACTCTTCATAAACAGAACAGCCACTTTGGATCTTCCAGTGTGCCTCAGTGATGGTAATCAATACCATGTGGACATCACGTTTAGAAAGCAGCCCAGTGAAGACCCTCACAGCAGCTCATTCATCCTGATTGACTCTGTAAGCAAGCCAGATTTTGTTTTAGCAAGATCATTGGAAATGATGCAATTGAAAGTTCACCGACTTCTGCTTACCCTATGTTTTATTTTTAATCACAGCTAGGACTCATTCCCAAAGTGGAGTCCGTCCCAAACTTCTGCTCACAGTCATATCTATCTCAGTTTCAACAATACCGGTGTATTGAGCTGGCTGTACAGGCAGGAGGTCAGACACTTCCTGAAGTTTGTGAGATGCTTATTGGATCCATGTCAGCTTTTATTCACAATGGAGCAGTGTGTGAGTATCATCCATATTTACACCTCAGACATACACATACGCATTTAAACTATTACCACGAGTACATGTATATCTGTGCAAATCAACAGCTTGCAACTGTCATCACGTCGGAGCATATGGCTCATCTTGCAGTAAATTTGGTGGACAATGTCAGTGCAAACCCAATGTTATCGGCCGCTGCTGTGATTCTTGTGCTCCCCTGACATATGGGCTTGGACCCAATGGCTGCTCACGTAAGACATTTTCTCATATTTCTCATATTGTGGTCATGTATAAGGGCTTTTTGCATCGAAGGAACTTTTTTTTACAGTTCCTAGAACTACCACAGCAGAAGCTGGAAATGATTTTAGCTCTAGGAACCATTTCAACAGTTCACACTTAGATATTGTTTGACAAATGCTAGCAGGTTTGGCATGCTGTCCCTGGAGTGAACCCTGAGCTCGGAGATAATTGAGCCCCAGGCTCCCACCTGGTTGATAGAGCATGAAAGGGGGGGGGTTTAATGGCTCGTTTCCACTGACTGGTACAGTACGGTACGGTTTGGGTCGGTACGGGTCACCTTTATCAGGCTTGCGTTTCCACTACCAAGGGTACCCTTTTGGTGGGTGAGGTGTATGACAAAGTTTCAGTCGACATAATTTTCGCTCTAGAAAATGTCTACAATAAAGCTGCACAGGTCGCTCACATATCATATGAAAAGCACTTCTCACAAAACAGATGCTGTACACACATACATACTTGAGTATAAATGTTTATTACTAACTTTTCTATAAACAGGAGTTGATTATAAATGCAGATCAATGACAGTGCGAAATAGCCTACTGTAACGTCTGTAATTATATTAAATAAATAAATAAATGAACATATATGAGCACATACAGACCCTTACAGTCTCCGATATGTTACCAACTACAGAAGAACTACACAAAGCAGACATTTCGTCGTTAATTAGGTTCAAAACAACACAAAGTATAGCCTACAGTCAGAGCAAACCTCTCATCTGTGTCTGTAATCTTCAGCAGCACATGAAGCCTCTGTTAGAGAGCCATTCCATCATTCCCAGTTCATATTAGTCCAAAAGGTGATAATAAAGATTAAAACAAGGCAGTTTGTTCACGTTTGCTGAAGAAATAACGTGCTCCTTGGCTTCGCCTTTTTTACCCGCGCTCCACTCTCGCGTTTGGCCTTTTCTTTCTGAATGTGTCACTCGCGTTTGTCAGCTTCTCACAGGATCGGGTTTCCAAAGCTTGTCAATAATCAAGTGCATGTTATTATTATCAGCTCAAGAAGTTTGTTATTTCAGATATAGACGCGCGGTGAGCGCAAGAAAGAAAGCGAAACCACTCGGGCTTCAGACTGGCTCGTTAAAAACTACGCGGCACAGGGTGAATCTGCTCTTCTCCATGGCTTTGTGGCTGTTTATCATGACGACGACAGGGTTTGTTTGCAGGATCGACCATGGCTGCATATGTATTCATAATTCTGCTGTAATCTCTCGCTGTGTATTTCAAACATGGCAGGTCCTTTGTTTACATTCTGGCTTGTTGAGTCTACGAATGAAGTATCTCTGTAAACCAATAGCGTTCAGCTGCGCGTGTAGCTACGCCTTTTGGGACCCTTTCTGCAGTTTGGGACCCTTTCGAAAGAGTCCTGAAAAAGTGGTACGGTACGGTTTGGTTCGGTACACCTTTTGACAGTGGAAACGGCCATAAAAGCGTACCAAACCAAATCGTACCATGCCACTCAGTGGAAACGGGCCATAAGAGATCAGGTGGCTCTCGAGAGCTCCCCGTGGTAGCGGAGGAAAGGGGGAGAAGGAGTGGATGGGGGGTTTCTTTGGAAAATGAAGGTAAAGGAGTAGTTTTTGCTAGGCTACTTAAAGTGAGTTTGCATTAATCTGATTGGCTACCTAATAATTGTAGATGGGAAACCAGCTGGGGTCAATAATATCACGTGCTCCTCTTGAAATTAGTTTGTGAAACTTCACTTAATGTAATTGTAAGCTGATTGGGTGCATACCATAATAAATATCAGCACAGTATTTTACCACCTGTAGGAGACACATTTTTTCTCTCCATATGCACCACACACCTTCTTATTAGCAATCTTATTTCTGGGAAAATATTGTTCTTTTTTGAGTGTGCAGGTGAGTGGGCTTGACAAACCATCCGTAGAAGACACACCCCTCAATATGCACCTGGCACTTCCACCCAGTTACAAGGACTAAAATTAAACTTGTCCTGCCCTATATATTGCTGCTCTCTGGTGATTTATTCATCCTCATTTGTAAGAAGCTTTGGTTAAAGTATCTGCTAAATGAATCAATATAAATGCAAAGTGTTATGTGACATAAACATATGGTTAATGTTAAAGTTAATGTTAGCGGAATTTATCCGATGCCCTTGTTTGCAGTGTTATGTAGCACTACGAAGTGATTTACCCCTTTTTTCTGTTTCAATCGCATATCTTTTTTACCTCTGTCTTTTCCCTGTTTATTATCAAAAAACACATGACACACGATGAAAACACAGCTTTGATTACGGTGTCCTCCATACTGTAGTTGATTTTGTTGAATGCAGCTTTTTTTCAGCTTTTTTTTTTTTTTTTACATTTACACACATGATTTACTCCTGTCTGCGTCTGGGAAAGAACCCGGGTCTCTGGTGTGCAAGGCGAATGATACATTCTAGACATATACACAGTCCATACATAAGATATATGATACAGTCTAGACATTAACACTGCATATGCACATTATACACTCTTTACATATACAATACACTCTTTACATATACATACACACTAATGATACATTCTAGACATATACACACTCCATACATTTGCACACATGATACATTCTAGACATTACATACATATATACATTATATACATATACACAGACTGACATGATACACCCTATACATTTACAGATATGATATATTCCTGATACAACCATATGCACATTATACATATACACACGATGCACTTTTTACCCGGGTCTCTGGTGTTCAAGGCGAATGACTTACCTACTGAGCTATTGGAACACATGATATACACACGAAACAATATATATACACAGACTATCATATACATGATACACACTCCATACATATACACACGATACATTCTAGACAAATACACACTCCATACATTTGCACAAATGATACATTCTAGACATATACACACTCCATACATATGCACACATGATACATATACGACATGATACACCCATATACATGCATACAAATGTACACATGATACATTCTAGACATATACACATTATTCTCACATGATACATATATATATATATATATATATATATATATACACAGACTGACATGATACACCCTATACATTTACACATATGATATATTCCTGATACAACCATATGCACATTATACATATACACACAATGCACTTTTACATGATTCATTCTAGACATGATTCATACAAACTCCATACATTTGCACATATACACACATGATACACTCATTACATATACAGGTTTATACACAGACTGACATGATACAATTACACACATGATTTACTCCTGTCTGCGTCTGGGATAGAACCCGGGTCTCTGGTGTTCAAGGCGAATGACTTACCCACTGAGCTATTGGAACACATGCTATACACACAAAACATTTATATATACATGTATATACACAGACATATACATACGCACAAATGATACATTCTAGACATACACACATGATACATTAACACACTCCATATGCACATTATACATTCTTTACATATACATGTATATACACAGACTGACATAATACACCCATATACACACTCCATACATTTGCACACATGATACATTCTAGACATAAACACACTCCATACATATGCACATATGATACATTCTAGACATAAACACACTCCTTACATTTGCACACATGATACATTCTAGACATAAACACACTCCATACATATGCACATACACACACTATTTTGAATATATTGATATACGGTCCATACATATGCACAATGATACATTATAGACACATACACACTATACATATGCACACGTTACATTCTTGACATTAACACACTCCATATGCACATTATACATTCTTTACATATACATGTATATACACAGACTGACATGATACACACTCCATACATATGCACACATGATACATACTAGACATATACACACTCCATACATTTGCACATTATACAGACTGACATGATACAATTACACACATGATTTACTCCTGTCTGCATCTGGGATAGAACCCGGGTCTCTGGTGTTCAAGGCGAATGACTTACCCACTGAGCTATTGGAACACATGATATACACACGAAACATTTATACACACACACATGTACAGTTTTTACATGTAAACATTATACTCACATGATACACTCTTTACATATACATATATTTGCATTAATGATACATTCTAGACATATACACAGTCCATACATATGCACATATGATACAGTCTAGACATTAACACACTCCATATGCACATTATACACTCTTTACATATACATGTATAATACACTCTTTACATATACATACGCACAAATGATACATTCTAGACATACACACATGATACATTAACACACTCTATATGCACATTATACACATACATACACAGACTGACATGATACACACCCATATACACACTCCATACATATACACACATGATACATTCTAGACATTATACACTCTTTACATATACATTTATGACATGATACACCCATATACATTCATACAAATGTACACATGATACATTCTAGACATATACACACATACATTTGCACTTTATACATATATACAGTTTTTACATATACACATTATGTCTATTCTCACATGATACATATATATACACAGACTGACATGATACACCTTATACATTTACACACATGATATATTCCTGTCTGCGTCGGGGATATAACTCGGGTCTCTGGTGTGCAAGGCGAATGACTTACCCACTGAGCTATTGGAACACATGATACATTCTAGACATATACACACTCCATACATTTACACACTGGATACATTCTAGACATATACATTTGCACATATACACACATGATACACTCATTACATATACAGGTTTATACACAGACTGACATGATACAGTTACACACATGATTTACTCCTGTCTGCGTCTGGGATAGAACCCGGGTCTCTGGTGTTCAAGGCGAATGACTTACCTACTGAGCTATTGGAACACATGATATACACACGAAACATTT